CTCTCTCTCTCGATCTCTCTCTCGATCTTTCTCTCTCTCTCTCTCTCCCTCTCTCTGTTTCTCTCTCTCTCGATCTTTCTCTCTCTCTCTCTCTCTGTTTCTCTCTCTCTCTCTCTTTCTTCGTCTTCAAGCTTAATGCTTTCAAACTGACTGGCCCTAATGCCTCAGTTTTGATCATTGCACTTTTGAAACAACCTGGAACCAAACGTTGCCATGTCAGGCAAATCCACGGGTGGCAAGTCAAAAGACACACTGTCAAACTTGTCAAGAGAAGCCGTTGCAACTCGACGTCGCCAAACACTGCTGCAAAGTCATCCAAAGAAGCTGAGACACCCATTCCTGTTGAAACCCAAAGGACCTTCCTTCATGTCCGTCGCATTGAGAGAGGTTCCAATTGTCAACAGCCATGCAAACAAATTCTCTTCGCGTCTTGGTTCCAACACAACACATTGGACCAAAACAAAAAACATGCACCAATTTGCTTGAGGCTTGCGAGCACAAATCAACCATCTTGAAGTTCAAGGATGCAAAATTGATTGACTACTTCTTGGATTGTCCAAAAGCCTGGTTGAGCTTGAGAGACAACTTTGTTCTTTGCAAGACAAAACACGCCTGGATTCCCAAGAGTTTTTTTTGCCAGAACAGCTGATTGAACAAAGGTGAACGAGCACCAGAAACAAAAAGCCGAAGATATGCTCCAAAAAACAAGATGCAGCTCTAGTGGATCTTTGGACTGAAAGCATCGAATCCAGATGGTCTTCTGGCACTGCAAGGACTTTCTCCGACCCACCACCAAAAAGGCAAAGGGAGGGACGGTTGATGTCAGGAACAAATGCCCACTGCGGGCCACAGCTCTTCCTGCTTTTCGCTGTCGCTTGGAACAATAGTGACCAGGAACTGCTGTTTTCCACGGCCAGACCTTCATTGCTCATCGACCATCGAGCTCTTGACTTGCTGAAGAACTTTTAAGGCTCTGCTCAACATCAGTGAGCTCGTGCATGGGCCTGTCCGCACACAGGCCGACAGCATGGGC